CGTAGCTGGTAGGGTAAGCGCCGCCGTGAGCTTGTTTCCACCGTTCTAGATAATGAAGGAGAATGACGACCATAGGCAAGTGACCATGCTCATGACTATCGAGGTTGTCGATGTTTTCAGTCATGCTCTGGGAAAACTCAAGGAGTTCGGGCCAAGGGGCTAGAAGTCGCAGATCTGTCGTGGCGGTCTCGTCGGGATGGGTGTCAACGATAGGAAATGTGCCAGGTATTGTGGTCTTGAAGTAGGAGTAGTATCCAACAGAATGAACTGCAATTGTAGGAATTTTATATTGGAGAGAATAATCCTGAATTAGCTGAACCTGATCTTGAGGCAAAGGAAGTGCATATAGGATCATGGTGAATGTAGGCGAGCTACTGAGAAAGTGATCTAGATGGAAAGATTCACCCTGAGATATGTCAGCGGGATGGTTGCGACTGAGCAGATAGAACAACATACCTGGGTTTTAGGATACCATTCACCCTGTACTTCAGGATTAAGTTCCAAGAGAAAGTTGGTGCAAGCTTCAGCTCTGGACTTGCCCAGCCAGCTATCATCTACGAAGAAATTGACACCCAGATCTTGATGGGTTACAATATTCTGGTCGGCAATGGTGAACCGGCCAATACCAGGCAGAACAAGATTCTTGAGAGTCTCAACGCCGACGGTACCTGCACCGGAGTTGACGAGGAGGATATTGGCCGACTCGAGAGCCGCCTGACCCGAGGCAGCCCAAAGTCGGAGTTGGCGGTCATATTTCCGCTCCTTCTCTGATGGGCCTTGAAGTACTGGGGGAGTCTGGATCATGACATCGGCCATATTGAGGTCCGATGCTGATGAACGAGAGTGTACGTGACTATGACTATGACTGTCCAGGTTATTATGATGCGATGTGGCACCACGTAGCTTGATCTGTAGAAAGTCAAACAGCGAGCAGACGGACTTTGGATAAACGAGCGTTGCGAGACCCCCGATAAGATGTGAGAGACTGCTGGTAGCAGTAGTATAGATGATACTGATGAAGCTCTCGAGTGGAGTGGAGTGGGTGAAGACGGTGTTGAATAATCGTTGCCTGTTGCTGAGTACCTTAGTGGCCTAGTGATGGATCAACCATTTCCGACCACTCACAGTTCGACGTTGGTCGAAACTGCGCTACGTCACAACTGGGAGTAGCCGTTCAAGTGGGGTACCTAATTCGGTGGTTGAAGCTCGTGAATGGATGGGTTTATCTTTGCCAGACCTGTGTGATGACTTTTGAAGATGTGAAGCACGAGAAAGAAAGAGGACGGGAAGTAGGTCGAGCTGGTGATTTAATGAATTCATTTTACATTTTTAGTTTGTGTTGGCCTGGGGACAGTATCGAAAGTATAACAGGTTCAGCTCAGGACACGAAAGTAAAACAGCCGGGCCAGCCACTCATTGCGTGCAACCAACGTCGATAAGCTTTGTTGTGTGCTCTGGGATCCAATGTTGGTCACTTAGGTACCTACTTTTTAAGCTGAGGGAAGAGAGTAAAAGATATAATTGGTTCAGGTTTACCAAGTCTATACTATATAAATTTACCTACTTACCTATCTAAACCTTTTCTTTTTGTATGCTGGATAGAGCCGTCCCGTCCCACTCGTTTCAATATGGCTGACCCCAGACCTAGCGTCATGAGGTAGTGCAGAATCCCTCAGCAAAGAGATGGAGTGATTGCAAAGACCAGGGCATTACTCCGTAGGATGGAGACGCTTTTCTTTTGAATGGGCCTTATGACATTTGAAGATGAAACGGAATTCCGTTCTGAGATTCACCGTTCGCTCCCAACACTTTACGGTGCAAGATGCTTGATTCGCTGATAAAAACTCCGAGATCGACACATGTAGCCAAACAAGCATTTCTCTGCACGACCAGACTTTCAGATCCTAGCAAACAGCTTTTCTCGATAGGTACGCTAGAGAGCCGTATGTAAGGTAGCTTGCTCCGTACTCAGGAGGTATCTAGCAATTTGCTCTCATTTCTCTTCAAGCTTCGTCAGGATTGGCTTCCATTCTTCGAATTGGTTTCCCATTTACGCCTAGCGCCAGCTTTCAAGATCTTTCAATGGGGATCTAGAGATGACACCTCAGGATCTGCCAATCATTCTTCGAGACCACCTTAAGCGAATGCGAGAGTGGATGCCTCCATCACTCCACTTCAACGTCCTCAAGCTGACTGCTTCACTAAGATATCTTACGTACCTAGGTTAGTAGGTAGGTAGCTCGGACTCGCAGCCGGAAAGTCATGTTGGTCCCCAATTCTCAATTTAGCGATTCCCATAGGATGTCTCGCAAGTCTTTGACCGGGGTCGTTATATGCGAGAGAGAGAGATGCATCATCGTCAGCGGAATGGCTACATACCGATCTCCGGCATCACTTGCTTGCAGCTGTCATACTGGTCATATAAGGGACGGGAACTCCTGATCACCTCGTTTTAGTAGAACCAAAATATCGAGACTGGTCGAGACAAACGAAGCATCAAAACAAGGACCTGCTCATTACTCGTACTTGCTGCTTATTGTTTGGTGATCGTGAGTCCCCACGCGCCAGTGATTCGATTCAGCCAAACCTGCTCGCACTGCAACAATTTCCTCCACATTTTTGGGCTTCCATCAGGATCAAAACTACCTTACCTTACCCAACTCCAACAGTCGACTGACTGCCTTCCTTTATTTCACCGTCTTTTTTGTAATCTTCTTGGAATATATCAGAGGAATCTTGTCGCCCTTCTCATCCCCTTTCACATACTCATCATGGATGCAGGAGTAAATGATATGGATACATGCGCCCGAGACCATGGCAAACCAGAAACAATCTCTGGTTCCCAAACAGACCCATCACTTCCCGCTTCAGACTCCGACGAAACTGAAGTCCCTGTGATCCCACGTGCTCGTTTCTGGGGCCTTTGTGTTGGGTATGTCCCATCATCTCTTGTGATGACCCGCTGCTAACACATACCCCAAGAGTCCTTCTAGGCTTGTTCCTTTCTATGATCGATACCTCTATCGTTGCAACAAGTCTACACAGTATCGGTGTCGACTTTGAGGTCCTCGAGGACGTCAACTGGGTTGCTCTGGCATACACTCTTGCATATCTCGGATGCGCCATCGTCTTCGCTCGTATATCCGACATTGTTGGACGCCGGGATGCCTTTATCGCAGCCTATATAATCTTCTTCATATTTTCTCTTGCCTGTGGTTTTGCACAGAGTATTAACCAACTCATCGCCTTTCGTGCTCTGCAGGGCATCGGAGGCTCAGGTATGCTTTATTGAACCGTCATGTTCGCCAGGTCATTAACTGAGTCAGGACTGTACTCGCTCACGATGATCATGCTGCCTGAAATCAGCCCAGATAACATGAAGCAGCACATAGCGGCTCTGGTAGGTTTGGTCATTACCATGTCAGGTGTCCTTGGTCCTGTTCTGGGTGGTATCTTGACACACTATGCTTCGTGGAGATGGGTGTTTTGGATCAAGTATTGCGCCTCCTTGAGATATATCCTTTATCATGTAGCTAACAACTTGCAGCGGCCCTGTTGGTTTCGTGTCTCTGGTCATATTTATCTTGACTTGGCCCAGATCGGAATACCTACCATCACAAGAGCGACGTGCTTGGAAAGAACTTGATTTTGTTGGGTCCCTCCTTGTTATTGCATCTGCAGTTTTGGTCGTTTTCTCGTTTCAGAATGCCGGCACAGAAAGATCTAACGATGGATGGAAAACTTCCATTTTCATTGCCCCCCTGACATGTGGGCTGTTTGCTTGCGGTCTACTCATTGCGTGGCAGATCTTCATTCAGCGTCGATGGCACGATCGGTTTGCTCCCGCATTCCCAATCAACATCTTTCGCAATAGGATATACTCTACTGCCGTTGCCAACACCCTCCTCAACGGCTTCCCTTATTTGTTGCTAATCTATGCCATCCCCCTACGCTTCCAAGTTGTTAGTGGCAAGTCTGCTCTCATCTCGGGAGTCATGTTGCTTCCCATGTTAGGGACGGCCGCCATTGGCAGCCTTTTAGCAGGCAAAATAAACGCGACGAAGAACTACACTTTTGAGTCATTGGTACTTGGCTCGAGCGTAATGACAATCGGCTGCGGATTGCTCACGTCGCTGTCACATGAGCCCAATGATGCAAAACTTCTTGGCTACATGACATTTTGTGGTCTTGGCTTTGGCTTAACCGTCGCGTCTTCGACAATGCTATCGACGGTAGAGGTACCCATTAGGGACTACGGTATGCATCACAGCTTGGGTCGTGGAAGAAGACTATCGCTAACAATAAATCATCAGCTCCCGCACAGGGTATTCTCTCTCAAGTTCGGCTCTTGGGTGGTAGCTTGGGCATCGCAGCATCATCGGCCTTGCTGAACGAGAAAAGCTCAAAGTATCTTTCGGGCGTTCTTACGGCCTATGAGCAAGCAACAATTGGCGGCTCTAACACACATCTCACTAGTGCACAGTGGTCAGCTGTCCGCTATACCTACGCTGATGCATTTCAGGTAGAGATGAAGATAGCGACAGTAATTGCAGCTTGCTCAGTCATATCCGCATTTGGCGCCTTTCGAAAGGGGCGTCTTTTGATAGCCGAGCAAAGGAAGATAATTGTCAGAGAAGAGGAAGACCGCCGACGTGCACAAACGGCACAGGTTGTGTAGGACAACCTCGGATCATATTTTCAACACAGGATATCACACCACACATAGGGTTGTATCTCGGCGTCACAGTCTTTTGACTCAAGTATTTTCAGGGTCGTATTATAAATCAATAGGGGTCCAGAACTTCTTCTTGCTAAATCTTAATCCCCCCGTCTTCCAATCAAGGGTCATTTTAGCCTGCTAAAGTGACACACCTTATTTCCGCACTTATCACCATGGGGAAGCATGAGCTGCACGCCACTATAGCCGCCACCACAGAAAGAAGAGCTATACAATACATCATATTGAATGGAAGCGTCTGAGTCGTTGGTCGTTGTATTAACTATGTGCCAGCATCCATGCTACCACCTTCCTCCTTCGTTGTATCCCGATACATGTCCACCGCTGCTGTGCTTGGTCTCCTCGGCTTCATGTCATTGAGGGCCTCACTCTCCTCGTCAATATCGTCATCGTCATCCCCCTCGCCGTCGTTGTCTGACGCGTCTGGCGACTCTGCAAGACTGTGCTGCAGTGATGCCATGAAGTCACCTGCTGCCTCAAACTTGGTGATCCCCTCCTTATGGGGCAAAGTCGAGTACATCCTCTGGGCCTCGTCAAGACATCGCCTCGCCTGGATGTGCTTGGACTGCTGAAGCCAGGCATCTGCACTAAGCACGCTCCAAGTTGCTGATTTTCGACGGCGCGAGCCCCAGTGCCAGCTGCCAACCCCCTCCTTCGAACCATAGCAACTAGCGAGTCGTTCCTTTATTAATGCATCACCCACACTGCCAGAGATCTTAGATTCAAGAAGCCTCACGCCCCAGCGCCCTGCATCATCAATATTGGTCCCGCCCCGTAAACGCAGTAGCTCCAAACCCAGGAGCAAGCTTCGCAGCGCTCCGTAGGGGGCACTGCACCGGGTGTTGTAGGAGTAGAACGCAGCCTCCAACATTTGATCTATTGTCTCGGCGCGATTCTTCGATGACATCTGTTGTGGAAGAAGCAAAAGACTTAGCGCAGCCATCTCATTGGCAGCGGCGTGATGTTTCCAGGCCTTGGAATCGCTAAAATCGGATCTCAAAAGATCATACGTTGAATGCGCTAGTTTCCAGTCTCGCAACATAAAGGCGTAGTCTGCCAATTTTCGCATAATAGCCTCAGGAGCTTCTGATCCATAAAACCCAGCAGCATTGTAGTTGTCTCTTGCGTTGCTTGTGCCTGTCGAATTCCTGGAGCTGCCGGTGAACGCCCACTTCCTGGATAAGTTCATAAAACGACCCGTGAGGCCTCTTCGGCGAGAAGCAACTTGGTCATTCCACAATGACACATTTCGTTCCATGGAAGGGATGACAGACATGGTCACCATCTCACGCACAAACGTACGAATGGCAGTAGCATCAGATTCAAATATGTAGCGTGTTGGGTCCTCAAAGTCCTCGTCGTCTTCACTCCTTCGGATATCCTCCAGTTCCTCTTGCGCTGACATCCAGTCGCTGCGAGGAAGCGGGATACTGTCGTCGTCTGTCTCGGCACTCTGGCTGCTTCTCAATCGAAGAAGATGGCAATGGGGTCCCATATTTCGTTTCATTTGTTCAAACAGCCCCATAGATCTTGTTATGTCGTCCTTCTCTTCATCGTGGACTAGCACATAGTATCGAATAAATTCACTGTCTACCCAAGGCGGAAGTTTTCGATTTCCTTCCTTTGTCTCTGTATAGAGTTTCTTTAGCTCTTCAAGGGGATTCGGATTCCGTGAGCTAATGGCAACGACACATGCCACAGGGTGTGAGAAGGTTTCATGGGGTGAAATAGGAAGGCCAGATAGCAACCTTCGCAAGTAAAGAGCGTAATATGGTGATGTCTCTTCTGAGCCCTTGTCTGGGCCCGCGAACAAGCCATGCTGGGGCAGCGCTGCGAACGACTCCTCTGCATAGGACAAATGGCTGTTGACTACGGCTTCCGCGTCCATGAGAAACTGCTTGTCCCTGGATGTGCTCGCTTGGCTGCCATTCTGACCTGGCGAGGATGCAGGATTCCTGAACCCCGAAACTGTGGGATCGGGGTGTTCAATGTTGTCACCGAATCTCGTAAACCTGATAGAGAAGCCTTCTGCGGCTTTGCTCATCCCGTTGCTATCCCTGATCGCAACTTTTCCCGGCACGTCTTCACCAAAGGGCCGAAGTAATTCCCAGAGACCATTTCGAAAGCCCTTCTCGTCCATCAAAGCATCTGTATCATGGGAGGAGTAGATGGAGACATGAGGTACGAATGCTCGGAGGATGAGATTCAACGGTTCGGATCCATCGCCCCCAGTCTCAGGTAATGGGCGGCTTGGTCGGGCATCGAAGACGGTATGGGAAAGAACTCGAGAGGGTGACCCTCGGCCGGCTGGGGATATTGAGCGTGATCCGGGTGGAGAGAGAGTCGAGGCATACAAGGATGCAGCCGACGGGTTGGAGCGACGAAAGGCCAGGTTGGTTTCCGATTGCGATAATGGTAGTGACTCTAATACAGGTGTGGAGTGTCGCGACTTTGTAAGCTTCATAGCAGACGCGGCTGCGGGCAACGCCTGGAGCGGTTCCGTCGGCGGAGCTGCATTCTCAACAGATTGTGGCATGAATGCGATGGCGAGCAGCGGCTGGCGGCGGTGATGATGTCGGACGGGGTGGTAATCGTAGGGTTCCTATTCGTAGGATGTAGGTATAATATAGGACCGGGCTTCGGAGGGGATTATGAGACGTAAGAAGATGAGGGTGATCGGCGAATAGTATAGGCCACAACTCGGCTCGGCATGATCCTGTCACTGAAGCAAATGGGACATTAGGTGAATATAGGTATTTCGTAGGTGGTAAACCAACGCCTTGGAACTTTGAGGAACTTTGATCTTAGATTAGCAACAAAGGTTGGGCGACCATGTGGAAACTCGGGATACGATGGACGGCGGTACGTATCCTTACCTCATGGTGGATGAGGTGCGCCCAGAGTTGACCGGGACAGCCAGGGACAGCGGATAACGGAACGTTAGGTTGAGCTCTCCACTCCATTGTACATAATTGCTCTACCGGGGCGAGAGCCGCAACATGGGATAGCTGCATATCTGTACAGGAACATTCGAGGTTCCCAACCCTGAAGACAATTCCTGTCACTCTACCTTCAACGCAGCCCTCATCGCATCAAAAACAACATGCCTTCAGATTTATCAGCATATCTCGCTTCCAAGTACCTGGTCGCCGACCCAAAACCAGCGAAGAAACGGAAGCGCAAGCGCGGCGCTGACGCCAACAACGGCCTTCTCATTACAGACGATGACGATTCAGGCTGGGGCAATACCAATACGCAGCAGGATGACGAGGGAATAGATGCTCCTGTGACAGTTTCGGGGCGATCTGCTGAGTTTCGGAGAACCAAAAAGAGCAATTGGAAGTCAGTTGGAGGCGACGCGACATCAAAAGATGATTCGGCTGCGGCTGCAGACGCGATTCTGGCATCAGCAGCAGCGGAGCAAACCGCAGCTCGCGATGAAGACGAGGACATGCCCATCATTGAAGATGACGGATCAGCTGTGAAGATGAGCGATGGAACACATGCAGGACTGCAAAGCGCAGCAACTGTTTCAGCGCAACTTAAACGGCGGCAAAAAGAAGAGCGCGAAGAGTTCGAACGGCATCGTATATCAAAGGAGGAAGAAACAATATATCGAGACGCGACAGGCCGAAGAATCGACATATCGATGAAGCGCGCCGAAGCACGACGTGCCGCGGCTGAGGCCGCTGCTGAAGCAGAGGAAAAGGAACGCCTGGCCAAAGAAGCTCTCAAAGGTGACATACAGCTTGAGGAGGCTCGTAAGCGCCGGGAGAAGTTACAAGATGCCAAGCTTATGTCATTCGCGCGTACAGCCGATGACGAAGAAATGAACCAGGAACTGAAAGAACAGGAGCGCTGGAACGATCCTATGATGCAGTTCATGACTGAGAAGAAGCAAACTGGCACAGGACAGAGTAAAAAGTCAAAACGCAAGCCAGTTTACGCTGGCGCAGCGCCGCCAAATCGGTACGCAATCAAACCAGGCTATCGCTGGGATGGTGTCGATCGCGGCAATGGCTTTGAAGCCGAGAGGTTCAAGGCACTTAACCGTAGAGAACGGAACAAGGGACTTGAGTACTCTTGGCAAATGGATAAATGAAAGGGTAGAGTTTGTTTGATGCAGATATTCTATTATATACCCATTTTAAGCGCTAAAATAATTGACCTTATCCTCCATACCTAAGTAATGATCTGAATGTCAAGATGTATACTGTTGTTGGATTCCGAAAACACGTCTGGTTCAGTGTGCGTTAACAAAGAAGTCGCAAGGCAAATGAAACTCCAGAGGAGAAGAAAAAAGAGACGATATTGCCGCCCTGACCGGGTATCTATTCTTTTACGATCTTCGGCGAAGTCGTTTGTCAGGTCCATAGTCACAAAGCTTCTTGACGAGCTGAATCCACTCATTCTTAGACATCTGCCCTGGTCTGTCACCTAGGCGGTGGTTGAAGAGCTTGATCAACTCGTTAACCGTGATGCCTTCGGCGGGGATCTTGTCGAGAATTTCAGATGGTTCGACAGCTGAAGTTCCAGGTGAGCCAGGAGAAGCAGCTGCAATACAATATTAGTTATAATTCTTGTCTGGAAATCAGTCCAAAGAAAGACTTACCACCCTGGGTTGGGTTGGGGCTGCCCGCTCTGGATGCCGAAGGAGTGCCCCGAGCACTGCTACTAACCAACTTCAACTTCTTCCTCTTGGGTGCAGCTCCATCTGACATCTCGCCAGCAGTTGCCTCTCCATCACTACCAGATCCAGCAGCCGTGGGTCGACGAGCGGCTCCACCTTGGACAAGAGGAGTGCCAGACCTGCTTCCCGTGGCAGATGGGACGCTCTTCTTAAGCTTTTTGCGTGAAGATTCGTTTCCGCTCGACTCGGACAGTGCTGGCGAGCCGGCTCGCTTGAGAGACTTGCTCTTCTTAGAGCCTTCAGGCTTCTTCCCAGAGGGAGTATTGGTGCCCTTGGATCCGGAACCGCTCTGATTCTTGTCGTCCTTGTTGACGTCCTTCTTCTCGTCATCTTTCTTGTCTTCCTCTTCTTCCTCGTCGGACGAGTTGTCATCAGACTGGAAATATCGGTTAGCATTGTTTTGACCCAAGCTGATAAAAAGGACCTTACCGAGCTGCTCCATGGATTCTCTTCTGAGTCGTCGCTTTCGTAGATATCCTCTCGATCTCTCTTGATCAATGCCTTCTTGGTGGCTTTGCCGAGCTTCTGTCGTAGGATCTCTTCTTGGAGTTGTTCATCTAGTTCCTTGTCCACTTCTTGCTCATCACCTTCTCCAAATAAGTTGGCACCGAGTTGTTCCCGACGAATACGGTCCTTGGAGTCCTTTGTGTCTTCGTCGTCATTCCTTTCAAACATTGGAGCCTCATCATCATCTTGAAATTCATCGCCCGACATATCAATTTCATCATGCTCCAGTTTCTCTGACCTCGAGGCAGCCTTGAACGTGGCACTTTCAGTCTTGACCATCGGGCCGCTTCCGTAGAACATTTTTCTTGTGGCCTCCAGATCCTTTCGCCCAGCTTTCTTCTCTTCATCTCTCATGACCCAACGGCCCACATCCACCTTCTTACTCATGAAGGCCTCAACCTCATCAATGTCGTAAGTCTGGAAGGGCGGCTTGGACGTGAATTTGTACCACTTCTCCAGTGGAATCATGCGGAAAACAGACACATCAATCATGAAAGCCACGTTAGATCCAGAAAGTGTGTCCACAAAGTTACCGACCCAAACATTCTTGCCCTCTGCATCTTCAAGGTGCCATGGAAGAGCTTCCTCGTATCGCAGGTCGGATGCCTTCTTAGCAGTTTCAGTCTTGGGGGCCCGGTTAAACGTTGTTTTCTCCTCTTTTTGCTTCTTCGGTCGCTTGGGATTGGGATCTTTGGCCACGGGCGCAATCTTGGCCTGGTCAATGGCGCGCTGAGCCTCCCGTTCAGCTTTCCTCTGCGCCTGTCTTTCCACCTCATCCTCGTCGGCCTGAGGCGCTTCAGGTGCTTCGGCCTTGACAGCCCTTCCCGGAGGGGGTTGGCGAGCATCTCGTCGGTGCAATGTTACGGGTCGTGCGAAGTCGTCCTGGTCGGTTGGATCGATGGATTTTCCTCCTGCTTTAGATTGAGTAAACTTCATCATGTGGTATCGAATACCATCGAGAAGATCCTTCTTCGTTGTCATAATTGGGATGTCAGTGCACCCAGGTGGCGGTGGCTCTGACCAGCCACCATTTTGACGTCGAATCTCTTCAATGTTTGGCTTTGTTCCATTTGGCCTACCCGAAACAGGTTGCGCTGTCGGCCTGGGTGGTGGTCTTCGAGAAACAAGGGGATTTGCCTTGGGATTCTTACGCAATGGCCGAAGGGGGTTTGGCTTCTGTTTCTTCGGGGCACCATTTGGGTACCCAGGCGCGTTAGCGGCCGGATTGCCTGGGGGAGGCGGCGCGCTCATGTTGATGAAGAGGTTGCGCAATCGTGAAAGAAATCCCGGAAATGCTCTGACAACAACAGGTCACAGCCTGTAGCCTAGCTCTGCGCAAAGCGCGATGCAGACTGAATCAACGCGCGTACCTGAAGAAGTTCGTTACTTAAAGTGATGGAAGGTTGGTGCTGTTTGTTTTATCAATACAGGAAAAGACTGGTTTTGCCAGGCGAGAGCGCAAAGGAGCTTTTATGCCCGGACAAAGATGATGCTGAATGCAGGGACAAAGGTCCTGAGTAAGATAACTAGTGCGCCTACCTTACCTTACTTATGACGATGACAAAGGCTCTGAAGTATGGTTGAAGCCACATGTGGCTGTGCACTCCCCAATTTGCTTCCAGTTGCCAGTGTTCCCGAGCCTTACAACCTTTATTAAACTAAGGTACTGGCATTAGGTATATGTTAGACCACAGGTTGTGTCTATTTGAGTTTAGCCCAGACAAAGTATCCCATGGAAAATAATGTTAAATGAATACCCTGGTCCTGAAGCGAAAAGGTCATATGTAGAGCTTTCCTATAAGTCTACTGTTTCTTGATCGAGTGGGAATAGCGCATGGTTCAAGGACAAAGAGAATAGGTACAATTAGGTCCTACTTTTATCTACCACAGGAGTTTTATTCGATACACTGTGTCGACATGCGAATACTATCATTTGTAATAACTTACCGGGCTCTCAGAAGTACCTTATGGAGATGTTAATCTTGGTATGACAGATAGGTATAGTGGCTTGTCGTTTTACACACGAACCTAGTAGTTTGCACAGTAAGTAATACTGAACACGACACTGTAGTACGCTATGAATGCATCTGGCAAACAGTGAACTCTCACCAGCTCCAACCACGCTCAGCACATTTCAACGTCACACCTGTACGACCTGATTGCCGCAGTCACGGACTCCAAACGAACAACAATGCACCCAATCCATTGTTCTCTCTAGTCTCCCATTTCTTCCGTTCTTTGTTCATCTTTCCACTCCGTGTTGGTAGGTCGAGGCCAAAACCTCTACACTTCTTTGCCTCCACTGCCAGGACCCCTCCCTTCACCAGTTGAAAGAAAGCGCAGAACCGAATTGAGGTTGTTGCATGCATCAAGTCCACCGCGCTGGGTTTTATGCGCCTTATCACTCAAAAAAGTGTTCTTTACAGAAGCGAACGTTGGAATAGTATTCGCTGAGCGGAATGCAACTATTCATACCCTGGTCGACATTCTTACAACAAAGAGTACTATCTCAAGGAGCCTAGCGGCAAGGCCAATTTCTATTGCTCTATCGCATAGTGTTTTTCTCGAGTCACAAATGGTTCCTCATCGGCGTGAGCCTCAAGTGGAGGCCCCTGGTGACTCCCAAGCAGGTCTTGAAAATCACTTGCGCAATCTGATCATCTCCAATGGCCCACCATTACACGATTCTGTGCCCAGGGCGTCTCTACAATCTGTTCCTACATCTCACAGCGACTTAGCCAACAGGAATACCGCTGTTGAAACGTCCGACACTGCCCCCCATCAATCCAGGCCCGGACGAAAGCGGCTAAACCAGGCACAAAGACGCCAAATGAGCTCTCAACTCTCCATATCTATCGATCCTCGGGCCCAGCAACCTCCCCCAGATAGAGCTTACCAAAGTCCGACATCTCAATACTCTCGCCCCTCTCAGCCTTATCAACGCCATACGCATACTGACTCTCAGCCATGGGGAGCACCCAGCGGAAATCGTCAAAGTGGCTCGTTTTCCCATCGCCACGGGAATAGCCCTCAGCAATCTAGGTATCGAGGCTATGATAATCCTCCTCCCCCCTCCCGTGGCCGCCCTAACTCTATGCCTCCCCAATCGAATTGGGGTTCTGGTTACTTGTACAACGCCAGACGCGCAGTTCAGTTTCATCCTGAGGAAATTGCAGCTCAGGATGCCCTACTTGACCAGCTTTGTTTTCAAGTTATTTCCAATTCTGAAATCGAAAGATCGGAAATAGCAGAAAAGGAGGAATTCCGTTGCAGGATTGAATCCATTAGTCGAGAGGTCATTGCCAGCTATGAGAAGGAGGAAAGGCCAGATACAGACTTTCAACCCCTCACAGTTCAGCTGAAATGCTTTGGGAGTCTGTCTTCAGGCTTCGCAACCAAGGCTTCAGACATGGATCTTGGTCTTCTTTCACCAATGTCTGCATCCCAGCCTGATGCTCCCGGGTCTCCTATACCGCGTCTCCTAGAGAAGGCTTTCTTGGAAGCTGGTCTAGGAGCGAGGCTTCTGACCCGAACTAGAGTCCCCATCATCAAGCTTTGCCAGTCTCCACCGGAAAAGCTTCGGCAAGGACTTCTCGAGGAGAGATTTCGATGGGAGAATGGCCTTGATGAAGCTCAGGAAGATGATGAAAATGATCCACAAGCAGCAAACAGTGAGCATGGTAGTCAGCAAGACCACATTGCAGGCATTCAAAGCAGTTCCACAACCGTCATTGAGCCCGTATCACTGGATCTCATCCAAGACGGCACGAAAGCAATCGAACTTAAGCAAAGCCTCAAAAGCTCTCTCTCCTCGTACTATGGTTTAGCCAAGCGGGTTCTTCGTAGAGCCGGTGGCCGTGATGCTACCATCTCTAATTATCGCGTACTCTCCAATGAAGATTGGGTTATATTGAACAGGGTGAGCGAGGCCTTCATCAGCGGTCTTGCGGATACTCGTCTTCGTGATCGCCTGTCCAAGTACCCGTCTCTCTCCTTTGTGCAAGATGCAGAGAGTCCCGCCAAACGATCTTTACTTGGGGTATACACACAGGTCGAAGGCGAACATATTCGCCAGCGCTGGGAGGAGAGTGGTGTCGAAGAGCGTAACCCCGCTTCTCAATCGTTGACTGGGCAGGCCTTGAAAGTATGGGAGGACGCTCAATACAGAGAGAACTTTGGTACCGATCCCATCTTTTTCACTAAAGAACTTCAATTGGCCCTTGACAAGCTTAAAAGAGCCCCTTCCGTGCAATTCGTGGTTTTGGAACAGGGTCAACATGAGGCGCCTGCGTCGTACTATACGAGAGCACTCTACATTTTTAACGGACTGAAGCCAGCTAATGAACAAGCCATCGCAAAGTGGACGAGTATGCTTGTTACACAATATGTCAGCGGTATACATCAGGAGGAGGTTCGAAAAATGTTGCAGACTTGCATAACCACGTGTTCTGAGTTCCTGTCGCTCAGAGGAGTCGGGCTCTTACACAAATGCATCCATTTAGCATGGGAATTCGAACGAGCATTAGACAAGGATTCGTACGATGAGTCTGTCCTGCAGGATGTTAAAGACTATATCGCCCTACTGCGGTCACCATTACAACAAAATGACCCCCTGAGGCTTGGCGACGATTTCTTCATTCCCCTCACAACAACAACAACGGTAGACCTTGTGGCGAGGATCAGACACCTTCCAGACCCTCACAAGATGGCTCCGAACCAGCCACGTGATCGATACAGAGACCATTTAGAGTTTCCCAAGACAGGCGCAGGTGTGCAATGTGACATCAACTTCTCTGCCCACTTGGCTCTTCATAATACATCCCTCCTACGATGTTACTCTCACACCGATCCGCGCGTCCGACCCATGGTTTTATTCGTCAAGCATTGGGCGAAGACCCGTGGGATCAACTCGGGATATCGTGGGACCCTTAGCAGCTATGGCTACGTTCTGATGGTCCTTCACTATCTAGTCAACGTCGCTGAGCCCTTTGTCAGTCCAAACCTCCAGCAGCTCGCTCCTCCTCCACCCCCGGGGCTCTCGCCTGTCGAATTCGAGAATATGGTTATGTGCCGTGGCCATAACGTTCAGTTTTGGCGTAACGAGGAAGAAATCCTGGAGCTGGCACGTGCAAACCAGCTAAATGGTAACAAAGATACTATTGGCCACCTCCTGCGTGGCTTCTTCGAGTATTATGCCCATAGCAGCATGCTCAGCACTTCCACGGGCAGAGGATTTGACTGGGGAAGAGATGTGCTCAGTTTGCGGACGCCAGGTGGTTTGCAGACAAAGCAAGACAAGGGCTGGACTGGCGCCAAAACAGTCATCGAGGCTCAAAATGTCGGGCCTCATCCGCCGCCTCCGCCCAACCAAGCGCCTTCCACGGCAGTACATCCTAAAGAGAATGATGTCAAGGATACAGGAGCACAGTCCAAGCAAGGCACGCAAGGCAGCGTCACAGGTAAGAATGGAGAATTCAAGGAAGTCCGTCACCGCTATCTCTTTGCTATCGAGGACCCTTTCGAGCTGGATCACAACGTTGCTCGAACTGTCACGCATAACGGCATTGTGTCAATCCGCGATGAGTTCCGTCGGGCGTGGAAGATTATCAAGTCGGCTGGCAATGGTAGCCCTCAGGAAAGCTTACTCCGGGATGTGACTGATGTAGAGGAGGAAGTCAGTCCTTTATCTCGCCTTCTAGATGAGATTCATGGAGCGGGTCGATGCCGGAACACTTGATTGTATAATAGTGATGTCGAAACGATGTACGAAGTTACGGACGGGTTAGGGTCAGGATCGGTGCTGGCGCAACGAGACGTAATCGTGTGGCTCAATCTTTGAGTCTTTGATAATGGCAAGGCTTAGTGGAACTTATCGTCGGTTCGATAATCACCATGTAACAAGTTGCACAAGAGGAATGGACTTCTTTTGATCTTGGTATCAGTATGCATTGTGATTTGTGATGCTCAACTTCATTGAGACAGCACGTCAAAGAAGTTTCTAGACGAAGACTTGGCAGAGTTGTTCTGCCTTTTGGGGGCATCATCTTTACCCACCCTCCGTTTTTTCTTGTCTTTGGCACTTCTTTTTGGCACTGGGTTGATACTTGCATTTGGTAATGGCACAAGCCTAGAAATTGTCTTGTAAATCTGGCCCTCATTGCTTCTCTGCAGAAACACAAGAGTACTCTCCACATCAGGAAACTCCGCCAGAGGTGGTAATGACAACAGCATGTCGTTTAGTTCTGGTAGGGTTCTTTGAAGCTGTCCAAGTGAGATGACTTGCTTCAAGAGTCGAAACGAGTAAAAAGCGGCTTGAAGATGAGCAACAAAGTGAAGAGTATCCCAAGTAATTTTCCTTAGATTTGGGGCTTGTAAACTCTCTTCCAAAATCTGCAGTGAATGTGAACGCTTGCCAACTTCATGACTATATCGTATATCAAGAGTCAGGCACAGGATGTACCAAGCCCAAGTGATGTCGACTTGCGATCCTGCTCTGATCATGGTCATTAGTCTGGCCAACCCTTGAGACCAAGCTTTCGCTTCTTTGTGGGGCAGCAAAGGGACCTGTCGCCCTTTTTGCGCCAGAGTGTTGACTCTCCGGTACTCCTGAACAGTTGTTAAAACACCGGGAATGATCCATCTAGCTACTGTGTAAGCCAACTGTCGAATCGGCGTGCTCTGTTCCCAGGCACTTCCCCGCGAGGGACTCTCTAGCAGAATGGGAAGAAACATCTTGGGGTCGCTCGCAGTGGGCATGTGGCCACTCAGGGGTCCCAGTTGCAATATCATCTCCGATATTCTGGGGTCTAGTGAGCCGATTTCTATTACTTTTCCGGATGTTGAGGTGGGAATTGGTGCAACTGCATGGTCTAGATACTCGTGACAGAACTCAGTGTAACCCGTTTGGTCGGTGATTGGTTGTGCACACTCCTGCAAGAGTTGTGGAAGTGTCGAATGGGCAGACCGTTTTCGTTCGTAAGCAAATCGGCACATCTCAGCAGAAGACGCAAGCTTGAGTTTCTCACGGATGTGGGAGGGACTAAAGCTTGCGCATGCGAGATTGGACTGATCATCAAGATAAATGTCGCGAAGAAAGACGACACTTCCCTTGCCAAGATCATGGACTAAAAGATCCGAGTCGGAGGTGAGAACCGTCCCGCCCGATTGCGACAGATGCTGTGTGCAGTATGCATCTGCCTCACCCGGAACAAGAATTACTATCTTGGTGTAGCGCGGAGAAGACCTCAAGGCATCAATGATAGCAGGGACATGAAAACTGGGTGGCAATGCCGATTTTCGTGGTGGCTTAACTGCAGAGAAGAGAACTGGAGCATCATCATTGGCAGCCGAGAAGTACGACGGGAAGAAACCATTGGTTTCAGATGAATGTGAGGCCTTCAATTGATTGAGACTTTTGATCATGCGCTCCATGCGAACGGGTTCTTTTCCTTTGGGGAGGAATCCGTCAAAATATATGGCGTCGCTGTCATGGTCAGTCTTATCCAAACAACAGAGGACACAGCACTTACACGTCCACACCACGCCGAGTGAGTTCATCCAACCATGCTACAGCGGTCTCGCCGAGAAGTTTGTATGACGGCTGAGGAACACCATGTCTGTTGCAGATGTACAGAACATGATACGCTAATGCTGGCCCATCGATGACTACGTGTTCATCGTTAAGGCGACCATGAACAACGTAGGGCTCTAGGGTAGATATGAGACGAGGAATCCCCATGTTGCGGGGAGGGGTCTGAAGGTTTATGAAGCTCTATCCCATTTCCATGCAGAAAGAAAAGCCCAATTTGTTGTTACTCAAGAGAATAAATAGGTCTTTCTTGGCCCTCAATGTCGTTGTTACTCAGGAATCAATTGCAGAGGTTCCGGGGCTGCTGCTTCGTGGTAAAAGGGACCGGCACCACCTCAGCTTACTTGTAGTACCAAATCAAGCCAGAATTTCAAGGGCCTTGACTGAGAAATAACGAGGCTGTGACGCAGTTTCCGGGATGCCCCGCTCCGTCAATGACTGCGGGAAGATGTACAGTATTGAACACTGTAGACATTCCGGCTTCGGCATGCTTGGTTTGGTGCCAGAATTGGTTTCTGACCCCACCATAAGAGAATCTACAGTAAGGGTCAGCTTTCCGACACACAGTGCAACGAGCCGGGGCAATGAAAAAAAAAAGCTCCAACCTGAACGCGACTTTCCTTCATCCTCGATTTTTCTTTCTTCCTCCATTGTCTTCAAAGCTTCACCCTTCCACGTCGGTCGATGGGCTGCTCAAGATGCGAAATACACTTATCTTCGCAGGCAATTCCTGCCCGGTCCTCACAGGCCAAATCTGCGAGAACCTGGGCATGCATCCTGCCAGCGCTGAGCTTACCCAGTTCTCTAATGTGAGCTTCCCTTGCCCTCGTGCTCGTAGCCATGGTTATCCAACATGACCGTTCTTTGGCCAACCATCACGATCACTCCCTTGCAGGCCCACGTTTGACACTCAAACAAGCTGCGTGCTTTGAGCTAACCAGTGCCCAAGGGTGAAACGAGCGTCAGAATTCTGACAAGCGTCCGAGAGAAGGACGTCTTCGTTGTCCAGTCAGGCAGCCCCAGCATCAATGACTCCATCATGGAGCTTCTCATCATGATCTCGGCCTGCAAAGGCGGTTCTGCTAACAAAGTCACTGGTTCGTGGTTCTCGTCCCCTGCTTGAGACCTCAATCGGCTTACTTGTTACGTCCAGCCGTTCTTCCTTATTTCCCCTACAGCCGCCAGTCAAAGAAGAAGTCGCATAGAGGTGCGATTACTGCTCGCATGCTTGCCAACTTGTTGGGTGTCGCTGGCGTTAAGCACGTTATCACTGTCGACCTTCATGCCTCGCAGATGCAGGGCTTCTTCAAGTGTCCCGTTGACAACCTGCACGCAGAGCCTATTCTTGCCAAGTGGATCCGCCACAACGTGTCTAACTGGCGCGAAGCGGTCGTGGTCTCCAAGAACGCTGGAGGAACCAAGCGAGTGACATCGCTTGCGGATGCTCTCAAGCTCAATTTCGGCATTGTTACTACAGACAGGAAGCGTGTGAGTAACATGACAGCGAGCATGATCATGAGGCACTTCGATCATAATGTTGAGCGTCAACCCACGCCGTTGGAGTCCAACCGACCCATTCCCTACCGTGGACCCCCGGCTTCCGAGCGTGCTGTCGAGTCCGAGGCTACCCCTAGGAGGCAGACCCCCCCCCCTCGCTCTTCGCGAATTGTGACGAACTCACAGGGCTCTCCTACACGGGTTAACAGCTCTGCCCGTTCAGTGACCTCCAACGCTGCCGAGGCTGCGGACCCCAACACTACCCCCCCTGCTGGATCACCCGATGGCTCGGCCGATGGCGAGGCGGATTATGATGACCATAAAGCGTCTGAAGTTACACAGGGCCGTTTGGTCCAAGGTCGTATTGTCGAGGATGATTATCCGTCTCCTGATCGATCTGTTGTTGACGGCAGTGTGGAAGATGATCCAATGACTATGTCTCATGCTTCATCATTCTTCGTCCCTGAGCCTCAATCTCTCGGAGGATCTGGCGACGCTGCAGCCAGCTCTGACGAGGAGGACAACGCATTCGAGGACCCAGGCGCCGAACACCTTATCACTCTAGTTGGCAACGTCAAGAATCGAACCGTTTTCATCGTGGATGATATGATTGACAAGGCTGGCTCTTGGATTGCTGCAGCTGAGACGGTGGTCAAGAAAGGCGGAGCCAAGAAGGTTTACTGCATGGCCACTCATGGTGTTTTTGGCGGCGACAGTCTGGAGCAACTGCAAGCGTGCGAGTGCATCGACCAGATTGTTGTAACCAACAGCTTTCCAATCGATAAGGATAGGGCACGCAGCATCAGCAAGCTCGTGGTTCTTGACCTCTCATTCCTGCTGGCGGAGGCCATTCGACGTAACCACTATGGCGAGGCTCTTTCGCCTCTCTTCCAACATTATGGTGATTAGATAGGACTGCATCGCAATGCTTCCAATCTCACACAATCACCCATTGCTACGCAATCGCGCCTAGCCTGCCTTGGCAGCTAAGTGCTTATCGACACTACTATTTGTGTTTTTATGACTTCTATTTATTTTTAGCGAGGCGTCTGGGGAAAGGACATATTGGTACCCTTTGCTGGACCAATGAATCTTGAGGATGAAAATTCCGACAAAAAAGCAGAGTAGGTGATGAATTATGATTTGTGTTCCTGGTCTTTTGGTTTAGGTTCGTGATGTAATATGATGTGATGTGATAGAGCCCTCGCCTGTTGTCGAAGCTCAGTTATATGCAACCCAGCGGTGCTGTCACTTGTTGACAGCAGGGGCCTGATTCATCCCAGAATGGGTCCTTAACGGAACGTTGGTAGAATAATCTCTCGGCCTTAGAAGGCCTGCAACTTAGAACCAGTCAAGGATTCGTGTCTCTTCGGGGACAAATGAGTTGTGGGCAAGAGAAATTTCCGAACATTTTGTGAATAGGATGCCCTTGTTAGCAGTTTGTATTAAATATTGCTGTTCAAGTCACCATATCTATCTACCTTATCTATAACCAAGATTTTTGTTTAATACAGTTCATACATAGTAATTGTACCATCTGTTCGCTTGAAACTTTGTCATGAGGACTGTTTATCATGTTCACTGTCGACTGACTAAGTCTTTCGGTGCATAATACCAGCACCAGCCTGTGGCCCAGAAGATTAGCCATGTAAAGTTTTCGACTCTCGAGTTTTTGATTCAGTATCTTACCTGGTGACTGGGGAATACTAGCGTGTCAGCAACAACGACGTTTTCTCGGCGAGTTGCGGTAAACACGATGATCTCAGCAATGTCGTCGGGGGTGAGAGGTTCGCATCCGCTGCTCGCAAGTCAGTACCGTGTATTTGACCAGTCCAAGACAACCTACGCATAGACAGCATCGGCCTTTTCCTTGTCGCCATAGAATCGCACCACGGAGAACTCCTATTGAGCAGTGAGCATCTCGTCATGTTGGCTCACACATAGGTTACGCTTACAGTTTCGACCTGGCCGGGATCAATCTCAATAACACGGACACGACTGGCAATGAGTTCCTTTCGCAAGCTGTCAGTGAAGCTGCGAACAGCGGCCTTTGTAGCACAGTAGATGCCACCGCCAGGGTAAGGCTCTCGGCCAGCAATGGAGCCGACGTTGATGATATCACCGTGACCACCGTCTGGTCGGGCGAGGAAGATGGGAAGGATAGCCTGGGTCATGTTGATGAGACCTGTGACGTTTGTTTGGAACATAACATTGATGTCTTCCTCAGCAATTTCAGGGGCACGAGCAACACCCTTGACAAGGCCTCTATTATGTTGTTAGCAACCTTTCTCCGAAGTTGTGCACATATAGACAGGAACTCACGCATTGTTGACAAGCACGTCAATGTTCCTCCACTCCTCGGGCAAGTTGCCGACGATACCCTTAACCTCAGCAGGATTGCTCACATCGAGCTTGAACGGCAGAACCTTGACGCCATCGCCGACCTCCTTCTCGATTTCTTGAGCGAGTTCCTTGAGGGAATCAATACGGCGTGCAGTGAGGATGAGGCGAAGATCATTCTTGGGGGCAGTCCGAGCGAACTCGAGAGCCGTGGAGCGGCCGATGCCGGAGGATGCACCAGTGACAAGAATTGTCTTGCCAGTGAGACGTTTGGCCGCAGCAGAAGCCATTGTACGACGAGTGAAGAGGGGACGAAAGAGGGGAGTGAAGGAGTTTGAGTGTGAGGTTGAGGTTGACAAAGAGACGTTGAGGGTCTTGGATGCGGTAGTGAGCAGGCGACGGGTATTCATTTGTTGACTAATAAGTAAGATGGTGGGGAAGATGGAGATGAGGATGGTGTGATTGGACTTGATAGGAGAGGTTGAAGATTGGGGAGGAGTCAGAGTTGAAATTATGGGAAGGGGTTCAGTTCGGGTATTGGAGATAGTGAATGATGTTATCTAGACTAACTTGGTCCATGTTGGTTACTAACGTGAAGCTCATGAAGATATCTGTCCACTATATGGCAAGGTACTCTCTGACAAAAGAGCACAATGATGAAAGCCGAGTCGAATACTAGGCCTTTCCAAGACCCAATGCCTCCAACGTCCCAAACTACTAAGATATCATCTAGCTACCTTACCTTGGTATGTCATGTTGGAGGAGCGGCCTTTTCTTACCCCGCGATTCGACATGACATGTGCTCTAGTGGGGTCGGGTCGGGTGTTGGAGTTGAGGGGTCCTGAGCAGGGCACAAGTCTACGGATAGGTAGGTAGAATTTGTCCTATCAGAAGCTATCAAAGTCGCTATATTTCTGGTCAAGGTGACGAGAACACCCTATAAGGAGCGTTATCTTAGGTTCTGTAACTAAGGTCCCTTACTCTGTGTCGACCCCCAAAGCTTGACGGGACATGAAGACCTCGGCTTTGAGCTCAAGTACCGCCTCTATCCGGGTGCTTACAGCTTCGAAGATCTAGACGCTACAACTTGGAGGTCTTTCGTCTTCCTGGGTCGTGCCTAGAGTCAGGACTTTTTCACGGCGCTGTCTGTCTAATGAACCTGGTTGCAATCTAACGAAACTGTTTTTGGGTACAGATACGGCGGGGAAAGATATTCTTATTGAAGATAACTTACTTTGTCATTGTATGAAGAGTCGCTGTTAGGAAGCGTTCGATCCCTTGCCGAACTCGGCGTCTCTTTGGGTTGAAGTAGAAGTGAAAGAATGTTCTTTGCAATGCTAATAAAGGGCCATGTGGTTTTCGCAAAGGATTGTATACCTTCCCTTATGCTCTCAAGCACACGACGAAGCAATTTAATACTGTCCGAGTTCTTACCTGTAAGTTGACGGTTGAGATGAACTCATTTAATTGGTTGCCATCCAATATCTACATACCTACACAAGCTACACTAGAAGACTGGACCCCCACTACGGAGCTACCATATCATTGTCCCTGGCGACAGACAGCTAGCACAACCTCCACTGTACTGTACCTCCCTAGCCCACGGGGCGATGCTAATGTATGGACGTACGTGCATGGACTGACTGTATTCACCTCCAAATGTGTCGTCATTCTTCAAAACTTTCTTCAAACATCCATCATTTCGTCTTATGACTTGAACAAAAAACAGCGTTCGAAGGATCCTGACTTTTTATCCCTCTCGGTTTATCTTCTGCGATTCTTATCTGCATACACCGATTCAGCTTGCAAAACAACATCATGGGCGAGCTCGCCGACTACCTCATTAATAACGACCCCAGCTTCAGCAGGTAGCACACCTTCTCCTTCGTATCTCGATAACTGTTGTTTGTTTGTCTAACAAATCTCGAGGTCACGATTAGCAGCCAGATATTCGGATTTTCGATCACAGCGCACTTTGAATCCCGATGGCTACCAGGCAAACATTTCCGCCTGGCGTCAGGCCCTCTCAGATCTTGTCGCCAACGGCAAGATTTCCCACCGCGGATCCAGCCCCGATCACTTCGTCCTCAAACTCGACGACTCCTTACTGCGGTCACTGGAATTCAAGGAATTTGGCCAGCCCCTGGCTATCGGAACTGTAGTGCGCGAAGCCACCGCCGGCCGGGACTTTATCCCACTACAAGATTTCGAGAAGTCGCAACAGAGCATCTATCAGCGCAGCTGGGCAGGTCTACCATGGAGTGTCATGAGTTGGACTTTGCGACAGCTGGGCGTGGTAGACCCTACCAGGGGTGACGATAAGCTGCCCACAGGTCAATATGTCATTGTCAAGAATATGGAAGCTGCTGCGAAGGAGCTGGGCGATCTAATGAGCGGAAAGGTCTCAAGATTCGATCGTGTTTTCAGCAGAGCACAATTTCAAAAAGCATTTTCCGCGGCTCTCGTCAAAGGCCAACATCTGACGGAGTCGGACCTTGATGTTCTACTCAAGTTTTTATCGCGGGACAAGGAAGTCGTCGAATATGATGGGAAAACGATCAGAATTAAGGGTTCTGGGGAGCAGAGCGGTATCACAAAGGAGGACGCTGCGATCGCATCTCTGAAGGAACTCACGGAAAGTCTGAAGCACCAAACCGACCTCCTCAACACACGCATCGATGAACTCTCCCAAACAGCCAAGGATGCCGTCACTAAAAAGAATCGCGTTGCAGCTCTTGCTGCGCTCAAATCCAAAAAGATTGCAGAGACTTCGTTAGCTACTCGCTACGCGACTTTGAACCAATTAGAAGAGGTTTCCGCCAAACTCGAGCAGGCTGCTGACAATGTGCAGCTTGTCAACGTCATGGAGGCTTCTTCTGGTGCGCTGGCGAGCCTCAATGCACAGGTCGGTGGTGCCGAGCGCGTCGATGCAGTTATGGATCGCCTACGGGAGCAGAGCAGCGCGACCGACGAGGTGAGCGCGATTCTGGCCGAATCCACAGGCGAGCCCATCGACGAAACTGCGCTCGACGACGAGCTCGAGGCTATGGAGGCGCAAGAGCGCGAAAAGGAAGAAGAGAAGACGAGGAGCAAGGAGGCCGAGGAACAGAAAGCCCGCGACGAACGGGAGGCAGCCGAGGCGCAAAAGAAGCTCGACGAATTGCCTGATGTACCTGCTGATGGTGAGGAGATCCGACAGAAGGAGCAGACACCGACATCCGAGACTGGAATTGCAAATCTGGCGATATAGGAGACGCCAGGCGAACGGACTGGAAAGAGAACTAAGCTCCATGCAGGCAGGATGGTTCATGCATGTACATGATAATATAGTAGGATATCCCTGGCGTTTTTGGACTTAAGATTGTACAATTGGGGTTTTGGTCATTAGAATCTATACACCAAAGGCACATTTGTTGTGCCATTATAATATCATTAGGTGGTATCTCAATGCATGCCCTTCTATATATACCATTCCAACCATCAGTACGCCGTTCTTCACCGAGTTACGAGTCGCGATCTAAGTTCTCAGGCCAGGGGTTGCCGTGTATTCAGTCTTGGGAGAACCTGTC